GGATGAGAACCATGTCTATTATCCGATCCAGATAGTTGTTACTGGTATCAAAGCCCTATTTGTAACCATTTTCCCTTTCCAAATCGGTTCCTAATTGTTCTGGCTTTTACTCAACAGATACTTTGACAGTTTTGGAATATTCGCTATATGACATACATTCATGTATCTAGCCCCCCCCCTAAGATCTACTTTTGATGCTCTTCTGGAGACGTACATGGTCAAACTCAATGAATTTAAATGGAAATTCTATTTAATTCATTAAATTCATTTAATTAGTTTCATGAATTACATGAATTAAATGGAAAACCTATTTAATTCATTAAATTCATTTAATTAATTTAGTTAATTTAATGAATTAAATGAATTAAATAGAAAACCTATTTAATTCATTAAATTCATTTAATTCATTGAATTACTTTAATGAATTAAATGAATTAAATGGAAAATCTGTTTAATTCATGTAATACATTTAACTAATTTAATTCATTTAATTAGTTTAATGAATTAAATGAATTAAATGAGTTAAATGAATTGAATGAATTAAATAGATTAAATGGAAAACTGTTGCTGGAATCTGAGGGCCCTAGGAATTAAATGAATTAAATGAATTGAATGGAAAATCTTTTTAATTCATTTAATTCATTAAACTAATTAAATGAATTAAATGAATTAAATGGAAAATCTATTGAATTCATTAAATTCATTAAATTAATTTTTATGAATTAAATGAATTAAATGGAACATCTATTTAATTCATTTAATTAATTTTATTAATTTAATTAATTTAATTAGTTTAATGAATTAAATGGAAAACTGTTGCTGGAATCTGAGGGCCCCAGGAATTGAATGAATTAAATGAATTAAATGGAAAATCTATTTAATTCATTAAATTCATTTAATTAATTCAATGAATTAAATGAATCAAAAAGAAAACCTATTTAATTAAATAAATTCATTTAATTCATTTCATTAATTTCATGAATTAAATGAAGTACATGGAAAATCTATTTAATTCATTTAATTCATTTAATTAATTAATTAAATTAATTTAATTAGTTTAATGAATTAAATGGAAAACTGTTGCTGGAATCTGAGGGCCCCAGGAATTAAATGAATTAAATGAATTAAATGGAAAATCTATTTAATTCATTTAATTCATTAAACTAATTAAATGAATTAAATGAATTAAATGGAAAACATATTTAATTCATTAAATACATTAAATTAATTTAATGAATTAAATGAATTAAATGGTAAATGTATTTAATTCATTTAATTCATTTAATTAGTTTAATGAATTAAATGAATTAAATGAATTAAATAAAATAAATGGAAAACTGTTTCTGGAATCTGGGGACCCAAGAAATTAAATGAATTAAATGGAAAATCAATTTAATTAATTTAATTCATTTAATTCATTGAATTAGGTTTATGAATTGAATGTTTTAAAAAAAAATCATTCAATGGAAAACTGTTTCTGGAACCTGGGGACACCAGGAATAAAATGAATTAAATGAATTGAATGGAAAATATGTTTAATTCATTAAATTCATTCAACTAATTAAATGAATTAAATGAATTAAATAAATTAAATAAATTAAATGGAAAACTGTTTCTGGAATCTGGGGACCCCAGGAATTGAATGCATTAAAATGAATTGAATGGAAATCTTTTTAATTCATTTAATTCAACTAATTCATGTGATTAATTTCATGAATTAAATGAATTCAATGGAACATCCATTTAATTCATTAAACTCATTTAATTCACTTAATTAGTTTAATGAATTAAATGAATTAAATTAATCAAATAAATTAAATGGAAAACTGTTTCTGGAATCTGGTGACACCAGGAATTAAATGAATTAAATGGAAAATCTATTTAATTAATTAAATTCATTAAATTCTTTTAATTAATTGAATGTTAATTCATTTAATTCATTAAACTAATTAAATGAATTAAATGGAAAATCTATTTAATTCATGTAATTAGTTTACTGAAGCTAACTATTTTCCATTGAATGAAAGCCAGAAAGGGAACAATCACATAGACCCTATTATACCCTCTATTTGCTCTCTGGATATTTCATAGCTAGCTCCTCAGCTGTCTTACTTTATACTTAGAGTTTTCTTGGTTTGGGTTGAATCTTAGGAAATACAGAATAACCAAAACCTCGAGAAAACCAAAAAACAAAAAAATCAAAATTTTTCAGAGAATGTTTGGTCTGAGGCTCATGTTTGTTTTTTTGGTTTTGCCTAGGTTTTTTTGGTCTTGACCTTGAAAAAACTAAAAAAAACTCAAGGTTTTTTTGGTTTCTTGGATAAAATGATGGTTAAAGCAGTGTGAAAAACAAAAAAAACTCAAGGTTTTTTTTGGTTTTTCATTGCGCAACCAAAAAGAAACTAAAGCCACAAACACCCAAAAACAAAAAAAAACCTTGAATTTTTTTGGTTTTTCACAATTCTTTAACCATCATTTTATCCAAAAAACAAAAAAAACCTTGAGTTTTTTAGTTTTTTCAAGGTCAAGACCAACAAAAAACCAAAAAAAACATAGGCAAAACCAAAAAAAACCAAACATGAGCCTCAGACCAAACATTCTCTGAACAGTTTTGGTTTTTTGGTTTTTTGGTTTTCTCGAGGTTTTTTTGATTTTGTCAATAGAGCTTTCCCAAAGAGTCTCCAAATATTGTTTTTTGTTGGTTTTCTCGAGGTTTTTTGTTTTTTTGGGTTTTCCCCATGGATTCTCTCCAAAAGAGTCGTCAAATATTGTTTTTTTTTGTCTCCAACTTGTTTTGATAGTGTGCACAGCTACTACCCACAAGACATCTTTAAAAAATAACTGACTCTTATACATATATGCACATAAATATATTATATATATATACATGTAGAGACAGTATATCAAAATGCTCTGAGGTAGATCTCAGGGGGGGGTACCATATATATATATATGTATATACATATACATATACATATATATATATATACACATCCATACACATACATATATAGGAGTGAGACCCTTCAAAATTTGGAATGGCTCACATAGGCAGCAGCAAGAACGGCTATCCCCACCATCATTCGCTGGATCCTGTGTCGAGGCTGCTGCAGTGGCAGCACATGAGGCTGAAGAGGCTTTGTGCAACGAGCGAGAGCACAGACAGGCCCAGAGCAGCACATAAGTGGGGATAATCAGCGAAAAACGGTGATGAAATAAATGTGGATATCATAATTTTATAATTTCGCACTTTTTTGGTGATGTGGATTTACAAATCCCAGAATGATCAGCAATACAGAGGGAGATGACTAACACCATTCCCGTTATATCCCACCGATGATGATTGCGACGACCCGTAAATGCACCCAAAATGAAAATAAAACGTCATGGGATACATCTCAGTCACCGACCATTCTTGACACTTAGACAAGATGACCATCTCCAGATGTTTTAGGCAGAAGGAACAATCTAGGAAACATCTTGAGCATCCTTCAGCATAGCATCATAGGTCGCACATAGTTGGACATCCCAAACATATTTATATAGATGACATTCTTAGTTTTCTGAGAGACAATTTTTGCAGAAAAAATTGACTGGTGAGGTGTCATCTAACACCAGCTCATTTGTTTTCATTTATTTTCACTTGAGCAGTGTTAAAAGCATGTGTTGGTTGATTATTGCACTACCCCCCAAAAGTAGGGATGACATCATCCATTCACTAGGAATCTCGTTCTTGAGCAACCATAACAAAGCTTGATATGTCAACGAAGAACAGGCGGAACTGGAGCGAAGTCGGGCCTGGGAAGAACAGCAGAAACCCTTGGAGGAGCTGTTAGCCAGTAGCGAGAAGCGCTTACAGGCCTGGCCATGGTGTCAACCTATGTCAACCTGGCCTGGCTCCCTGGGTCCCGGGAGCTTCGTAAGGTTTTGTTTTTGGGGGGACAGGCTAAAATTTCTGACTTAGAAATTTTGGAGGAGGAAATCAGTGAATCTCTGGGAACCCAATGACTTCAGAAACATGAAATGGTCACCAGCAGTTAAGACTCCCCAAATTTCTGTGCTTTTGGTGGAGAATCACTTCATTGATGATGACTTCATTGCTGTCCCTTGCCTCGGCACCCGCAGGAACTGCAGCTGGCACAACAGGACTCAGAGTGGCTTCGTGTCGCTTGGAGCTATTTAGCTTCCAACATGAGCCGAGCCAAAGATGTGCTTCCCGGAGTGTGTGCCCCGAAAAGTGGATCAGGTGCCGATGGGTAATCTCGGACCGAGGTTTGGAAAAGCTCAAGGCACCTTGAAATGAGTTTTGAAGAAGTTGCACGAGACGCACGCGCAACGAAGAGCATATACAGCTGATATACGGCTGATATACGGCTGATATACAGCTGATATACAGCTGATATACAGCTGATATACAGCTGGACTGATGCTCCAAAGTCGAGATATGTCTAGATTCTTTATTGATATTGATGCCCAAACTGAAACCTGGTGCCCATGCACCAAGCATCACAAACCATGCTTTAAGCCTCGAGCATGCTGCCTGACAAATCAGTCTTTGCCTTGCAAAAAAGAAACGACTGTATGCCCTCTGGGCAGTTCCAAAAGCTTGAGTTGGTTGATGATTGAACGGATTATGGAGTCAAAATATCTTCGGAATTATCATAGCCCACTAATATCCATCATGGGGATCCCCATCAACCATCCAGTATAGTGGATTTCCAATAGCAATCTGACACTGCTTAAGTTGTGTCGTAGCAACTTGAGGCCAACCCTACCTCCAAGCAGTTCGTGGAAATATTCATTTTCAATTGGAAATTCATTTCGTTGCGATGGTGCCAGACAAGATTCACCGGCGATGAGCTGTTTCCTAGACAGGCCCGGCATCTTGCAGACACAAGGTATCTAGAACTTGAGCACTCAAATTACATGCCGCCGAGAACTTGAACTTTATCAAAGCAGCAAGAAACAGAAGAACACAACGGGCTGCTGCAATTTCCTCGCTTCAGCGCGTGACAAAGCAGTAAGGGGAAGCAATAAATGCAGAGATGAGAATTCTGTGCAGAACAAGATCATATCAAACATTATTTGATCCTTGGTGCCATGACAGAAGCCAAAGTTTTGACCATTGAGGCCCAAGGGGATCTTGGCAAAAGGAAAATGGCACAGGATTCGCTTAGATTGCTACATACGCTGACAATGGAGAAACCACATGTATATTCTCATCATTTTCGATAGATGATCTTATTGTTTACTGAAAGTGGGGTTTCCTCCCTTGCAGGCTTTGTTTACGAAATTATGTCAAGGTCCTTATCAAGGCAGCCAGTGCCAGTCCTCCATTAGGACCTCATTTTCGGAGCAAAGGAGAGAAAGTCCCAGGACCAGGCGCGTCGGCGCAAAGCTGTGGCTGATTCCGATCTTCCATGCCCCAAACCATCAAAGGATCAAAGTGTAATTTGCCTCCTGTTCATTCAAGACATTCAAGATTGGTGGATATGACATTTTCATGCATTTTCAGTATCTTTCGGATCCTCTTTGGCAGAAACCATGCCAAAGGAGCCACTGCGAGCCCTTTTGGTTCACAGATGTCCGGTTTGTGATTTGGCAGGGCAGATGGATACTCACTCTTGGCAGGCTTTGTTGCGCAGGAGGGAGTCACCCAAAATGCATGTGAGGAAGCTCCTAGTGTTTCGGAGAGATTGAGATTCCAGACGGCGATCATTGGGAAGCTCCGCAGGTGAATGCAGCACACCCGGTCATCAGGATGTTTTGTGACAAAAACAGCAGGCCCTGTGAGCGCTCCGTAGTGAGTTTGTAAATGTTAACACCATACTGACAGATCCAGGTGGCGGATCCAGATACTCTGGAGCCCAGTAGCATCCATTATCATTCAAACAAACTTTGTCATCATCTATCACTCTCATCCGCCATCTATGATTTGAACTCCACTCTTCTAGGGAGGCGCAGAGTTTCAGCGAAGAACTTTCAAAGGCTCCAAAGTTCTGCAAACCGTTAGTGCGTTTATCTATCCCTGGCTGTCTGTCATCTCAGTATGCAGGCCGGGATTACCAGGTAGGAGATACAAGGCTTTGTCCAGGCAGCGCAAGTTGAACGCCGGAGTTCACTGAAGGTATCTCTCATGATCAACTATCACTTATTTTATATTACTGTATTGTCATCAGTTATTATCACTCTCATCCGCCATCTAATGTTGCTACTGTGCTGTGATTAGGTTTCCGTTCCGCTTGCTGCGATGCTTGTAGCCATTTTCCCCTCCCTGTCTGACTTGACAGTGCGAGGCTCAGATGTTTGTGTGCTGATATGTGGAAAACATGACGATGTCCAGCAACTTCAGTGTGCTTTTGTTCCAAGTCCTTCATGGTTATGTGTTACACAGAATCGTGTACGTATGCTTTCATGATTGATCTTTATGTAGATGAGATGATACATGACAACCTGTGAGTTACAAAATTAAACAAAGTAAAATAGTATCCGCTGCCGCTGCTGTTTGTGCTGGTCTGAGTCCTCGACACGTTTGTCTCTTGCTTGGAATCTTAAATGTCCGGTACACTATTGGACGACTGGATGTGTATAGCTAGACTGACTAGATAGAAGGCAAAACAAAACAGGAATTTCAAAGTCATACGAAATAGAAAACGTATGGATTTGTGCATGTTTAGTAATTCCATCCCCCAAACAAAAATTCAGCTCACCTGATTTTTGGGGGTGTTCAATGGGTGTTTAATATTGTGGCAGGCGACGCGTCGCGGTGATGAACTGGTCATCAACTGCTTGAGAAGTCTGGCCATGGATGCTGTGCAGCAAGCAGGGGGCCCCATGGGCCAACAGCCATCCATGGATATGATCCCTGGACGGGATCTCAATCAGATTGGATGATAAGCCAATAGTTATCCATCTTTATGATTGGATGATATCTACTATCTCAATCAGATTGGATGATAAAGATATCATAGTTATCCATTTATGATGATGAATCTTTGGATTTCGGGGTATGTTCCCAAGTTTTGGGTTTAAATCCATCTAGGAAGCTAAGTAAATGCATGCCCCATGACTGGAAAGTGCGTGACGTTTGGATCAGCAATGCGCAGCACTCCTAATGGTTGATGGTAAAAATGCGATTATGCTGAGTTACGCTGACTGGTTTAGGGTGGATTTTAGATATGCTGGCGGAGAAAATACCCACAATTGGGGACTATCGGTTGAGGATATGAACGATCGTAACAGTCAACCGGCTTCCTGTGAATCCAATAAATTGCCTTCGAGTGATCCCCCCGACAAATTATTCTGACATAGTTTCCGACGTATCATCTGGAAGTGTATATACGTATATAGTATATATATATATAATATGGCATGTATATAAAATATAATATTCTGACATTCTATCTTACATTCTTTCTGGCATATACTTTGATATTCTATCTGACATTTTATCTGACATTCTTTCTGGCATCTAGTCTGGCGTTCTCTCTGGCATCTATTCTGGCATTCTATCTGGCATCTATTCATGAAATTCTATCTGTCATTCTTTCTAGCATGTATTCTGTCATTCTTTCTGACATTCTTTCAGGCATTCTTTCTGGCATGTATGTTGACATTCTTTCTGACATTCTGTCTGGCATTCTGTTTGTTTTTTAATCTCACATATATTCTGACATTCTATCTAGCATTCTGTCTGGCATTCTATCTGACGTTCTCTCTGGCATGTGTTCGGGTCTGCATGCCCAGCTGCTTCCGGAGCTCGTGATAGGGTTCGGGCCCATGTGTGCCCAGCTGCTTCCGGAGCTCTCTAAAGGTTGCAGGTCCATGCGTGCCAAGACTGCCGTGCAGCTCGGCCTTGAGCTTGCGGAACGAGATTGCACTTGCTGTGTGGCAGAAAAGAAGCGCGCAAGGAATGGTGAGCTGGGCCTTGCATGTGTTCAGACATTCTTTCTGACATGTGATCCAGGTATTTTGGCACTCCTTCTGGAATGTGTTCCGGTCCCTGCATTGCCAGACTGAGCGGGCCTTCCTAAAGGCTTGGGGTCCGTGCGTGCCCAGACTGAGCTGGAGCTCGCCATGAGCTTTTGGCACTTGCTGTGAGATCTGGATCCGTTGGTGCCAGCAGTGAGGACAAGCTAGTGGCGGAGGAGTGGCCGAGGAGGAGAAGTTGCACCTTTGAAGAAATCTAGTGACGCTCACCTGGCAGGTGCACAACCAACCCATACAACTCATGACACTTCCAGGAGTCATCCTTCTAAGCCTTAGTTGGACTGAGGCCAACTCTGGACATCCTGGAACCCCCATGGCTATGGCGCCAGTGGCCTATGCTTTATGGGCCAGGTGATCGATGGTTTCATCATGGCTGCTGTTGAAATAGCAATGGCCGGTTTTTGGATCTAACACTTCTTATCATGAAAACACTCACCATTTTGTTTGGTGAAAAAAACACCTATCTATCCTGCTTCAGATTGGTCACTGAATTTATTCGTAGCTGGAGATTGTTTCAGACGAGGGACGTGACGCATCCTGCCGCAGGATATTGAACTACGATCCAGAAGCTCCACATTGGATGAATCGAGATCGATTTGTCCTTTCCATGGGCAGCTCAGCAGCACTGGTCTTACGGGTGTAACAAAGGGTGTACCCCATGGATCCCCATGGCGCTTTAAGGACTGTAGGGGATGCATTCTGAAGCATTTCATACATTTCATTATTTCTGGAGTGAAAGATTCTTGATCTAATTTGGCTGCTGCTAGATTTGAAACTTGATCGGCTCATATCGGCTCACATGTTTCAAAATTCATGCTATGAAATCCAACTTGGTGGGACTTGCTGTCTTTCCAGGTCATGCATCAATGCTGCTCTATGGTTTACTTCACCTGGCTGGTGTCAAGGAGGCTGATATCGCACAATGTCAAAGCGACACAGAACATCACGGAACTATATGGTACTTGATTATATATATTATATATATACTATAACTGATATATATATATATAGAATATTATATATACACAATATTGTATATATATATATATATGATATACACCAATAACACAAACACAGACATATATATATAGAGGATTGCAATCATATTTCACTGTGAAGTCTTGACTGGGCTTGCAGCCTGTGCGTGTACCCGACATTTTGGAGGTGTCGAACCACGACCAGGCCTGAGGGCCTTTTTGCGCCTTTTGGCATGTAACAACTGCCTTCATGCAACTTCATGGGAGATGACTCCTGAATTCAGCTCTGAAGGTCACAGGCCAGTTTGCCGTGTCGTTGGAAGACATCAAGGAGAGCAAACCGGTGGAGCAGAGTCCTTCAAATATTTTCAAATACATCAAAACTGCGGCTGATCAGCTCAGGAGTTTCGACAATTCGGCTCCAAATGCCCTGGTCACCCCGAGTTTGGCTTGACTCTGAGATCATGTGGAGTTTGTGGTTTACAGCGTATCATGAAATTCCACAATATGAGTTGAATTTCAAAGGTGTTGGGCTGTTGTTGGGCCATTGGCACTGGAATGGGTACAGGCTTCAAGCATCGAGACCCCCAAGTTGGTCGAATACCAAACGGGACCCATTTTGAGGGTATATGACTACCCCATCGTTGGAGCCAAACTCAAAATGTTTCTTGCTGCAAGCCCCTTCGAGATCTGCAAGGGAACATAACAGGATATCGAATGATATCGATGGACATTTCTTAAAATCATTTGGCAGTATGACCAACTTTGATCAGCCATCGCCAAGCCATCGACAAATGAGTTTGCCCGAAAATACGGCCCGCCAGAATCCGCTTGTGAAACACCAACTTGTCTCATGGATCCTGTTCGATCCTGCTCGTATCAATTGATCAGTTATAAAAACCATATCCTCATTTATTGGTAGCCATGTAACAGGTGTATATATATATATGTATGTGTATGTATATATATATGACATCAAGAAACCAACTGGGGGCTTGAATGCTCAAGCTTGGATGGACCCCCGCGTGGTTCTAGGTGTTTTTGTGGAAGGCCTTAGATCTAATTTTTGGGGACTTGCCTGCCCGGCCTATTGTGTTCAGCCTAGTGTTGGACTTTTGGGTTTCTGTGTGTTGCTTGGTTGGCTCCTTGGCTTTGGTTCTGCGGTGGCCCTGTTCCTTCGGTTTGGCACCCTTTGGACTTTTGCCTGTCCCTCTCAACCTGCCTCGGGTCAACCAGGCACTGCCCATACTCAGCCCTCCCGGGCACAAGTGCTAGCTGCCTATTTGCATGAGCCAAGGCCTCGACAGCCAACACGGAGAAGTTGAATTGCGGGTTACGTTGCCCGGGGGCATTAGGGTGGTGGTCACAGCTCCACCGGAATCTGCTGCCACTGCTGCTTTGCTGCTTGGCCACATTTCTCTGTTTGAGGCCCCCTCCTCTCCTCGAACTGATCAGTCATTTGAGGTGGTGTCTTCTGCTTCTTCGGCTGTGCGTGCCCCTTCTGGTCCTCGTCGCCTTGAGACACGTGAGCAAATTGCCCAGTCTTTTGTGCCCTGTCCGACCCGTCTTTTCCAAAACAGTGCTAAGCTGTGTGGGTCCTCTTTGTCTGGCCGTGATCGTGTGGAGCGGGCTTGGACTTGTGGACAGTGGGCTGCAGCGGTTAGGGACTCTCGAATCCACAGTCCCAATCGCACCCCGCCCATTGACTTGCGGGCGCGGTTCTACGCAGTGTTGCGTGCCTCTGGACTTGAGCAACCAACCATCTTCAAATCCTCTGCGGGCTACTGGGCCGCCATCCAGCGTCTGGACGGAAGCGACTCGATTTCCCAAAGCTTCCCCAGCGAGCTTGAGGCGAAGATCTACTTGGAATCTGCTGGTGCCTTGGACTTTGTCTTTGCCCCTTAGTCGGCACGATGGAACCTGTGGACTTGGATTTGGGTTCCCTCGTGACCTTGCAGTCCGACGTAGTTCCCTATGTGTTGAATTGGTCGAGCCCTGGAGATCCAGTGGAGGCATGTGTCTTTGTGATCAATTTGAGGCCTGGTGGACTTTTGCTGGCCGTTCCCCTTGGAGTTGTTCCCGAAGAGGTTCTTGCACAAGGAAACGAGTCTTTGCCACCTGGTCCTGTCGGTCCGTCAACTGTGGTCGTTGTCCCAGCCGTCTTGCCAGAGGGGGGGGTAATGTCGCCAACCGGCACAAATATGTCAGTTTTGGTAGTCGACATGTCCGAAGAAGCCGTGCATCGACTGCATGCAGTGGACCCGTCTGTCCCTGTGGAATTTGTTTTCGACGAAGAGCAGCCTTTTGCCATACCAGACCCGGCCGCTTTGAAGAGCTCGGTGAGAGATTGGCTGGAAGCAAGTGCCGAGACGTCAGGTCTAGGCTATGTAACAGCCGAACCAGAGTTGGAGGGAGAAGCATTGGAGGAGGAGGCGCCATCTCCACCTCTTGTCCCAACACGCCAAAGAAAGCCCACTCAGCGTGGGCGCGAGCCGGCTACCGCTTCAGGAAGGAAGCCCACGGTAGCAACTCTTGCCGGTTCCATAGAACAGTTGTTGCAAGCGAACGTAGGGATCTCCAAGCAACTGGAGTCTTTGACTGTGCGCCAACAGCAGTTAGAGAAACAGCGCCAGCAGCCTCTTGTGCCTCCTCCCTTGCCCTCTCACCAGTCTGTCTTGAGCCAGCCTTTATCATCTGTATTGACGGTTCCTCAGGTTGGAAGTTCGGCAGTGGTCCACCATTTGGGTGCTCCCCCCAAAACTTTTGCTCCAGCGTCCCCGGGTCTGTTAAGGTCTCCTTTGGTTCAACACCCAGAGCTTGGAGAAATGGAGGCGGAGAAGTTGAAGCCAGGCCTATCTTCCTCCAGCGACAGCCTTGCTCAAGCAGTTCTTGCACAGTCCCAAGCCTTAACTGCTCTGGTGTCACAGATAGCAGCTCAGTCGAGCGACCCCATGGTGGATTTAGGCAGCATGGGTTCGACTGCAGGGACGAGGGGCGCTCAAGGGAGAGCAAAGCTCCAAGCGGAGCTGGCAGCACAGCGAGGAACCTTCTTCGCATCGGTTCTGAATGCAATGGCGCGGAGAATGCAGCCGACCTCACCTGCCGATGGGACCCCGGGCGAATTGATGGCCCGAGGAGTTTGCGGCACAAAATACCTGGAAAGGTTCGGGGGGTTCGGGAAACACAGGGAGCTAGGTTGCCTGCAGCACCAAGTGATGACTATCATGGACTTCTTGCAAACAGAAAATTTGCCTGCCGCTCGAGACGCAGCGGCTCTGTTAGCAGTAACCATAGATCAGGCAGCCTTGGACAACTCCAGATTCGAGCTGGCCACCCTTCTGTGCTTGCAAGAGGAGCCACCGTCAACAGTGTTCAGTCACAAGCCAGCCAATGTGATGTCCAAGACCCGGGCCTTCAGCCCACTTGCCGACCAAAAGTGGGTCACTGTAGCTCTGGCTTACCTGAAAGAATTGGATGTGATCTCGGCCAAACGCCTGGAACTGACCTCCCAAGCCAGCGCTGCAGCTTTAGGAAGTGGAAACTCCGAAAAGCCGAAAGCCAAGCCCTTTCCGAAAAGGAAACAGAAATGGGGGGGAAAAGGAAACCAAGGAAATGCGGAGGGAGAGGAGCAGTAGCAAAGAATGCTGCCCCATCCGAGCAGAGTGAGGGTGGGCTGGAGTCAAACCCCCTTACTTCCAGTATAAGCCTTAGCTCATGGGTTTCATGTTTGCCAAGGTGGATTTTGAGAACTCGCACTGGCTTTTCTCGCTGTCTTGCCAGTGCTTTTGCTGTTGTGCGTCGCTCTGATGCAGCGACTACCGCAATTTTCCCACTGCCCCTTGCCTGCCTGAAGTGTTTTGGTAGCAGTGGCCCTGGACTTTCTCGCAAGAGGTTTTGGTCGTTGTGTAAGGCTCGGTTGGTGAATGTTTGGATTCTTGTCCTTAACTTCATGTACCTGGGTCGCTGGCCATCCCATGAGGAGCTCCAGAGATGCCCGAACGGCCTGCAAGAAGATGTTTTTGCCCGGCTGCGAGCATTTGTCATTGCGTGTGGTGAAGCCCAGGTCCAGTTTAGTCTGTGCCCCGGTCGATCCAGTCCTGAATTAGGTGCAGCCTTGTTTCAACTTGAACAGTTCTGTCAGAGGTGCCCAGAGCTTGGAACTGGTTACCTAGAGCATGAAGTGCCTTTTCGTGAGCAACCCAATTTGCTGTCTGCAGAGAAGCACCCTGAACTGCAGCCTTATCGTTCCCTTGATGCGAGCCGCCTCAGACTTGTTGGGACTGGAGAATGGCCTATGGAATTTTTCCTTGAAGGATCGTTGTGGCTTCCGTTTCAGGATCCTCGGTTTCTTTTTCATGACCGGCCGCTGTCTGGGATCGACTTGCCAAACTTTGCCTCCGAAAAGCCTGCAGAGTGCCTGAAGCTAGCCAAGCTGTGGGATGCGAGGGGTCTTCTTTTTCTGTCTGATGAGCCTGTTAAGCTGGGGTTGTTTTGCAAGGTTTTTAATGCCTACAAAGCTGCCACTTGTGATCGGCAGATTGGAGACCGCAGGCTTGTGAATCAGAGCGAGTTTCATGTTGATGGCCCTTCCAAGTACCTGCCCCAAGGAAGACAGCTCACTCAGCTCAGGTTGCCACGTTTCACTCATGCCTTTAGAGGGATTGTTACTGACCGCCGTGATTTTTATCATCAAGCACAAGTTTCAAATGAGCGGGCCATGACCAATATGCTCCCCTTTAGTTATCCCCTTAGCTGCTTTGAAGGCACTTCAGCTTTGGAGGAGTACCTTGGCAGCCGACCGAAAGGCAGGAGGTCTCGGGATGTGTCAGGTGATGGATTTCGTGCAAGAGGATCGATTCTGGCCACTGGACTCCCTGGCCACGTTTATCCCTGCTTTCGTTCCCTGTTTCAAGGTGACCACTTAGGTGTTGAGTTTGCCCTGCGGAGCCATGCTGTGCTGTTGAAAGCTGGTGGACTGCTGACCGAGCGGACTCAGATCTTGGGGAATCATTGCGTTCCGTCGGGCCCTGTTTGGGATGCGCTTGTGATTGATGACTTTTTCTCCATCAGTGCCGAGCCTCTCTCAACTCCGAAGGAAAAGACTGCCTCCATGCTTGCTCTGGCCAAAGCCAGGAGCATCTATGACAAGGCTCATCTCTTGGGGTCCTCAGAAAAGGATGTTGTCGCAGAAACCACGTTCAAAGCTGCTGGAGCAGAAGTCAGGTCTGACCCCAAGAATGTGAGGCTTGGAATTGTGCCTGTTGGAGCCCCAATCGTGAAGAGATTAGCGCTTAGTGCCTTGTCGCTCCGGGTAGCCCGTTTGCCTGCTGTGACGCCTGGCCTGGTTGCTCGCCTTGCCGGAAATTGGGTCTCTGTCTTGCAGTACCGGAAATGTCTATCCAGCTTGATTGATGACCTTTTTCTGTTGTCGTCTCAATGCAGTGACTCTGACTTTGGTGTTGCTGTCCCCTTGCCACGCAGGATAAGCCAAGAACTTGTCCTCCTTTCTTCAATGGCCCCTCTGATCTGCTCAAACCTCTCGGTCAATTTTCTGGATAGGTTGTTTGCCACAGATGCCTCTTGTCAAAAGGGGGGCATAGTCAGTGCGGAGATTCCACTTGATGTTCATGAAGCGTTGTGGCTTGGGACTGACAAAAGGGGTGCTTACACCCAACTCGCAAACCCCTTTCATGCGGTGCTCAGGAGCCTTGGCGAAGCTGATGATGACCTCGAGACCTCTGGGCCCTGGGATTGTGCCACTCAACCTCAGAAGTCTCCTCTCATGTATTTTGACTTTGTTGAGATTTGTGGGGGAGCGGGGAAAGTCGGTGATGCCCTTCATGCCAGAGGTTGGATTGTAGCCCCTGTCCTGGATTTGTCCGAGAGTGTCCACTATGACCTTGGCTCCCTACGTTTGCTGGAATGGATCATCTACATGATTGAAGAAGGTAGGTTCAGGTCGTTCATGGTTGAACCCCCTTGCACTACATTCTCTCCGGCTGCTCACCCTGCTGTCAGGTCATACCGAGAGCCTCTTGGTTTTGACAGGCTCGATCCAAAGACGCTCCATGGGAATTTGCTGGCTTTTCGGGCGCTCATCTTGCTTCGTGTCGGCCGTCGTTGTGGCACTCCTTGCGCGGCAGAGCAGAGCAGGCTTTCCAAGATGTGCTGGTTGACCTTCTGGATTTCCCTGCTTGATGTTGGGTTTGAGGAAGCTGTCATGGCAAGTTGCATGTTTGGCTCCCCCCACCGGAAGGAGTTTCGCCTGCTGTGTTATCTGTTGGATGTTGCCTTCCTTGACACCAGGTGCTGTGGGGGCCACTCTCACGTCAGAATCCAGGGAAGCCTCACCAAGCCCTCCGCTGTTTATGTTGATGGTCTTGCTGATCGCATTGCAGCTGCTTTCCATCGGGCTTTGACTTCCTTGAACGCTTGTCAACGTCTGGAGCCTGAAGTCGTCGGTCTGGAGTCGCCTGTCGTCAATGACCTTGCACTCTCTTCCAAGTGGTCACTTGTCCGTGCTTGGTTTTGGAAAAGGGGTGGCCACATCAATGTGCTTGAACAAGCTTCGGCCGTATCCTTGCTTGACCAGCTCAGTTGCCAGACCTCTTCTGTGCGTTTTGCGTCGCTCATTGACTCTGCTGTTTGTCGTGGCTCCTTGTCCAAGGGTCGCTCAGCGTCTGTTGCCTTGCAACCCGGCTTGAAAAAGGCAGGAGCCATCTGTGTCGCTGCGGACCTGTATCCGGTTTGGCCCTACTGTCCCACTCGCCTGAACACTGCTGATGACCCCACTCGGTCTGTCTCGGTTCGTGCCCCTGTCTGTCACTCCTTAGTCCAGCTTTCTGGCTTCAGCGACCTTGCAAAAGCTTCAAGTGGATTCCTGCGCAGGTTTGCCGCCAATTGGTTCCGGCTTGTGCTCCTAGCCCTACTTGTTACTGGTTCTGACTCGGTATCGTGTGGTAGTGAGCCTGGCTCCTGGATCTCTCCGTTTTGGATTTCCGACCTTGTCCATGTCAGCTGTGTTGGAATTGGCCTCCTCTTGTCCCTCTTTGTCGCTCTGTGGACTTTGCCCTGGACTTTGCCTGGGATTTCCTGTGAAACCCGCTGCGCTGAGTGTGACCTGTGGTGGACTTTTGGTCGTGTGGGTACGGGCAGGGTAACACTAATTCCTAAGTGGACTTTTAAGGGTAGGATTGGCCTTGTAGTTCGCGCCATGGTGTTGCTTTGCTGCTTGGTGCCAGCTGGTGCTATGCCCATAGGAGCGAACACAGCTGTCGAACATGCACGAGTTTTGGCGCGGGCTGGAAATAACTTGGTGTCCTCGAGAGCTGTGCGTCCTCAAACCCGCGACAAGAGGCTGGTTTATCTGGAGAGATTCAGACGGTGGCTGCTGGAGGAGAAGTCGACTTCTCTGCGGATGCTACTCGAGCAAAAACCGCCAGATCCAGAGAAGGTAAACGATCTGCTGATCGAATATGGGAAACAGCTTTACTACGGTGGAAAGGCGTATGGTATCTACGCAGAGACTGTGAACGCCATAGCGGCTGAGAGACCACTCATCCGTCGCCAACTCACGGCGGCTTGGGACCTAGCCTTCTGCTGGCTCGCTGACGAGCCGACCTGTCATCATCCTGCCATGCCCTTGTCAATCATGACAGCTATGGTCACAACGGCTTTGACATGGGGATGGCCCTATGAAGCAGCTGTTTTGATGCTTTCCTGGGCAGGTGTGATGAGGATTGGTGAGGTGCTCTGCGCGCTTCGCAGAGACTTGGTGCTGCCTGTTGACGCTGCTCCAGGCACCTCCTTCGCCTTGGTGATCATCCGGGCGCCGAAGACACGGGGCAGAGCAGCCAACCATCAGTCAGCACGTATCGACCAGTCGGACATCATTGCCTTCCTCACCTCTATGTATGGTTCTTCGCCTGCGGACTCCAGCATTTGGCCATATTCAGCAGCGACTCTGAGGAAACGATTTGTGAACCTACTGAATGCGCTGGAGCTTCCTACTGAGAAAAGAGGTGAGGCACGACCTTTTGATCTCGGTAGCCTCCGACCAGGTGGTGCGACATGGTTGCTCCACCATACAGGTGACCTTGAGCTTGTCAGACACAGAGGCAGGTGGCTTTCTGTCAGAACTATGAACATTTACCTACAGGAAGTTCAGGTCGCCACCTACATTGTTCGTGTGGCACCTAGAACCCGCTTTTTGATTGAGATTTGTGCAGGAGCTTTTGCCTTCACCCTGGCGCGTGCAATAGCGTTTTTGGATTCAGGCATACCTCCTGCAGCATGGTACGCCCTCCTGAAAATTTCTGCAGGTTCTCCTTCGAAGAGTTCTGGAAAGGATGGAAAAGGTGGCCTTTTTGAGCCTAGGATCCAACAACAACCGGATCCAGGCATGATGACATCTCCCTGCACAGCAGCAAAAGACCGAGGGAGGCTTTCTTGACATCAAGAAACCAACTGGGGGCTTGAATGCTCAAGCTTCCCTGCCACGCCCACCCGGGCAGAAATTTCAGGGGCCTTTTTGAGCCTAGGATCCAACAACAACCGGATCCAGGCATGATGACATCTCCCTGCACAGCAGCAAAAGACCGAGGGAGGCTTTCTTATATATGTATAGTATACCAGTAGTACTGCACAAGGCGGTGGCGGAAGTTCCAAAAATAGGAAACCTATAGGAGAGGTTGGTTGTTGTGAATCACGGATGGCAGAGCGAATCCACTGATGGACCGACAGGTGGTTGGAGTTGTGTTTTTTGGAGTGGTTGCAATGGTTGCAGTGGCCACCTTACCACAACTACTGGATGTAGTGTGGTGTAGCGCATGCAGTTGCAGTTGTAGTTGCAGTTGTAGCTGTAGTTGTGGTGTAGTGTCGTGGAGCTGTAGCTGTAATGTAGTGTAATTAGCGTAGTGTAGTGTAGTGTAGTTGTAGCTGTAGCGTAGTGCAGTGTAATTAGTGTAGCGTAGTGCAGTGTAATTAGTGTAGTGTAGTGTAAGTTGTAGTTGTAGTTGTAGTTGTAGTTGTACTTGTACTTGTACTTGTAGGTGTAGTGTAGTGCAGTTTAATTAGTGTAGTGTAGTGTAGTGTAGTGCAGTGCAGTGCAGTGCAGTGCAGTGTAGTGTAGTGTGTGGTGTAGTGTAATGTAGTGGTAGCTGTAGTTGTAGTTGTAGTTGCAGCTGCAGTTGTAGTTGTAGCGTAATGTAGTGTAACTAGATTCAACTAGGGTAGTGCAGTGTAATTAGTGTAGTGTAATGTAGCGTAGTATATTTGTAATATGTAGCAGAAGTCTAGTGTAGCCTAGTGCTAGTTGTAGTTGTACTTGTCTATCTATTATCTATCTGTCTATGATTCTATCTAATCTACCTATCTAATCTATCTATCTAATCTTTCTGTCTAATCTATCTATCTAATCTATCTATCTAATCTATCTATCTAATCTATCTGTCTAATCTATCTATCTAATCTATCTATCTAATCTATCTAATCAATCTAATCTATCTAATTTATCTAACCTATCTAATCTATCTATCAAATCTATCTATCTAATCGATCTAATCTATCTAAGCAAAGAGAAAAGGATCGATACGATGCTAAAGGACCTACTCTACCTACTCTATCTACTCTATCTAATCTATCTACTCTATCTACTCTATCTAATCTATCTAATCTATCTAAACTACCTAATCTATCTAATCTATCTAATCTATCTAATCTATCTAATCTATCTAACCAATCTAACCAATCTAACCAATCTAATCTATCTAATCTATCTAATCTATCTAATCTATCTAATCTATCTATCTATCTATCTATCTATCTATCTATCTATCTATCTATCTATCTACTAATCATCTAATCTACTAATCTATCTAATCTATCTAATCTATTTAATCTATTCTAATCATCTAATTCTATCTAATGTTCCATTGCACGCGGGTTCGGGTACACGCGCGCACCCTGAAAAGCGTCAAAGCCGCAAAGCCGCAAAGCCGCCATGGAACGCTCAAGCCGCAAAGCCGCATAAAGCCGCAAAGCCGCAAAGCCGCCATGGAACGCTCAAGCCGCAAAGCCGCAAAGCCGCAAAGCCGCAAAGCCGCCATGGAACGCTCAAGCCGCAAAGCCGCAAAGCCGCAAAGCCGCCATGGAACGCTCAAGCCGCAAAGCCGCAAAGCCGCAAAGCCGCAAAGCCGCCATGGAAGCCCAAGCCGCAAAGCCGCAAAGCCGCCAAGCCGCCACGGAAGCCGCAAAGCCGCAAAGCCGCCATGGAACGCTCAAGCCGCAAAGCCGCCATGGCCGCAAGCTCTGAGACTCATGCGCTGTCTTCTGCGTTCATCGCCGCTGCGTTGCCACCGCCATGGAACGCTCAAGCCGCAAAGCCGCAAAGCCGCAAAGCCGCAAGCTCTGAGACTCATGCGCCGTCTCATGTGTTCATCGCCGCTGCGGGTACACGCGCGCACCCTGGAAAGCGTCAAAGCCGCAAAGCCGCCATGGAACGCCCAAGCCGCAAAGCCGCAAAGCCGCCAAGCCGCCACGGAACGCTGAAGCCGCAAAGCCGCAAAGCCGCCATGGAACGCTGAAGCCGCAAAGCCACCCATGGAACGCTCAAGCCGCAAAGCCGCAAAGCCGCAAGCTCTGAGACTCATGCGCTGTCTCCTGCGTTCATCGCCGCTGCGTTGCCACCGCCATGGAGCGCTGAAGCCGCAAAGCCGCAAGCTCTGAGACTCATGCGCCGTGTCCTGTGTTCATCGCCGCTGTGTTGCCAGAGATTCAAGAAGCGTCAAAGAGCCGCAAAGCGCCAAGGCGTCGAAGCACCACGAAGCGTCAAAGCGGCAAAGCTTCGAGAAGCGCCAAAGCGTCAAGAAGCGCCAAAGCTTCCAGAAGCGTCAAAGCGCAGAAGCGTCCAAGAGCCGCCAACGAAAGGCTTGCTGTGTTTAGATGAGGATGGGCTTGCTTACGGAAAGAGGTCTGCAACGAAAGGCTTGCTGTGTTTAGCAGGGTATGACCTCGCTTGCGGAAACAGGTCTGCTATGAAAGGCTTGCTATGTTTCGAAGGAGCTGCGCCTGCTTACGGACAGAAGGTCTGCAGCGACTGCACCGAATATACTTGCTGCTCACAGAGTGCGCCAATCACAGGACACCCACTGCACCGAGCACACGTGCACACAGTACAGCTGCAGCGCGGTGCCTATGCCTTTGTCAGGTTTTGATTCCCCAAATGAATGTAGCCATGCACATACTCTGATGCCTTTACATCTTTATCCTCTCTTTATCGCATGTCATTCATCCATCATGTGTCTATCCAACTACATATAATCAACTACGCCTCCGGCTTCCAGTGCCAGAGAAGCGTCGCATTTCTTGTTGATCAACAGAGTGACAAGACACTTACATGGCTTTTCTCACAAGTGTCAGGGGAAAATGAAGGTAGAGATAGGATGATATTGGTAGATATTGGTAGATTGAATGCTGAACATCCAATTTTGGGCTCATGATGCCTATTTACGGATGCTGCTCGGCTGGTCGTGGGAGGTGCCACGGTAATTCGAGCTGTGCGGCTCAGCCCGTAGCTTGGATGCTCTTGGAAGCAAAAGATGGGCAGATTGCATCAAGGCATTGTATCAACATGTATATCATGTATATATATACATATCTATGGGGTATTATACATACACATGGACATGTATGATATATATATATATATATGTTATATATTATATATATATATTGCATTAAGAGTCACTAGGAAAGAAACAGGAGCTGCATCTGAATCTCTAAATACAGATCTTCACATGCCTCACGGATGGCCGCCTTCCTCACTTTGCCAGAGAGTCTGCGCCTTATGTGGTGGATGCCTCCAGCGTGGTATCGTGGGGGGATGGTCATCCCTCCTAGTCTAGCTGTGCCTCGTTGGTTGGGGGTATTCACATGTAGGTTGCAGCAGCCGTTTCTTTTTTTCGCCGGTTACATTATTTTTCGACAAACAATTATGCGCACATACATACAATTATATATATATATCTATCTTTTCTTATATGATATATATATATATATATATATACGCATACACAAGTATCCCGAAATCTTCGTTCTTTCTGGTGACACTGTGACACATCGCGCCATCCGCAGTCGTGTTCCAGGCAGCCTTGGCCAACTCGCCGGAGACGCTCCGAACATTGGAAGAGTGCGGCTTGCCCTTGACCCAGGTTGGAAGCAGCTGATCTAGAAATCACTGGGATGTTTATCATTAAAAGTTATACGTACCCTCTGGTAAACTAACAGTTTACCTTTAAAAAATCGAATTTTGAAGAGGAAAATCAACTTTAAATGGCCATTTTGAATAACTATGTTAGATTGCCAGAGGGTAGGGGTCTCGGGGATATGACTCTTGGTGCGGGGGAATGATCCAGTTAACTGATAAGGGCTACTACTGGGATGATCACCGGGATGATTGCTGGGATGTTTACTACTGGTAAGGGGTAATTGCATCATACTAAACCGCACAAAACAAACTGGATCAGTTGTTCATTATTAGGATATTACTGGAATATTGCTAGGCGAATACCCGAAATCACATCATCGGAAATATCTGGGATGTCTACTATTATTATTACTATTTCTAGGATATATTAGGTATGATAGCGGAATGATCCATTTAACTTACTTGTAGGAGATCTAATTTTTCCCATATGAGCGTGATGATTTGTAGGGGAAAACACTGAGATTTATTAGGATTTCATCGAAATCAGCATTCTCAGCAGCCATGAGCACCAATTATGTGCAATGATCGCCATTGAATGATTTGAATGTCAGGTATGCGACATGCGTGATCCTCTCCTAATCCTGTATGGGTGGTTTCTTAATGCTTTATACTCTTTCACTAACCCTTCTTTCTATGTGCTATACTCATCCTCAACTCACAATTCCACAAACCATTCAGGATATGTGCTCTTAACCATTACCTTACGGTACTACTAACTGTTCAGAGTGCTACTTGGAAGTATACACACTAGTAGACCTGCTAGCATGGCACACTCTTGGCCATGGTCGCAGGGCATGGCGCAAGAGGAAGATGACCCGCAGGATTCCAGAGACATGGCTTTGCACACGCCCGGCTGGGGCAATGAAGCTTGGCCTCCAGCTTGGCTGCCCGCGCCGATACGGCCCATGCGCGGCAGTGTTGGGAGATTTTCGGCTGCAGCTGTCAGCTCCAGGGAAGAGTGCAACAATGCCCAGGACTTTTTTGGAGATTTACCGGTGTCAGACCGTGTGGGCCACGACAAGACGGGTGTCGGTTACAAGGATCCGTCTCCTACAACAAACCGGTCACTTGCGTTGCCGTCATCTTCGAGCACTTTTCCCGTAGACTTGCAAAGCACGAATACGATATCGTTGTTGGTCGCAAATGTCGGCTTCATCGATCGCAGCCGGCGCTTTTCTGATTTCATAGCAGGCAATTTTTCGGTCGTCCTTCTTCAAGAAGCTCACTCCTGTGGCATCTTGCACCGAATTGCAAAAGCACGGGACATGT